TCATTGTTTCATTTTGCACTTCCCTAATCACTGGTGACATGGGTTGAGCATCAGTTTGTATGTTAGTTGGCAATTTCTATTTCCCCTTCTGTCAATTACCTGTTTATTTCTCACTGAACTGTAGAAGCTCTTTTACATTTTAGAAAAAGCCTTTGTGATATAGGTTGCAAATTTCTTCTCCCTATTTGTAGTTTGTCTTTACTTTTGTTTATAGCATCTTTCAGTATGCATAGTTTTTTTTTTTATTTTAATAAGTTTAAATCTGTTGGTCTTTTCTTATATGGCTTTGGGATTTTGTATCACAATTAGAAAAACCTTCTCTACTCCTAGAGCTATAAAAACATTCTCCTATATTTTCTCCTCATATTTTTAGAATTTGTTTTTAATCCATCTAGAATCTATTTTTGTGACTAGTGTTTGTGTGGGACGGTCTTATTTTATTTTTTCCTGATGGATGGCCTATTTTCCCAGCCCATTTTCTTGAATAGTCCATTCTTTCCCCGCTGACTTACATTATGCCAAATTCCTGTGTAAACATGAATTTGATCTTGGTCTCACTTTTCTGTCCTATTGCTCTTTTTGTTATTCGGATGCCTTTACTTACTTATCTTCCATTCACTCATGGCAATTTAGCTTCCACCCACAACTTCCCTGGAATTATTATTCCTTAGTGTATTAATGACCTTCATGGTGCCAAACCCAATGGATATTTTTCAGTTCCATTTATTATTCCCTCCCATTATGCTACATGGTACAACTCTCCCTCGATTCTTCTACCAATAAAAGTCATGATCATAACAATATCTTCTGTTTGTTAGTTACTCCGTGCCAGGCACTGTTTTTTCTTAAGAATTTATTTATTTATTTGAGAGAGCGAGACGGCATGAGTGGGAGGAGGATCAGAGGGAGAGGGAGAAGCAGGCTCCCCGCTGAGCAAGGAGACCAAGGTGAGGCTCGATCCCGGGACCCTGAGATCATGACCTGAGCAGAAGGCAGATGCTTAACCGACTGAGCCACCCAGGCGCCCCTGTGCCAGGCACTGTTGAAGCATTTCATATGCCAGACACATCAAGTATGCCTCACCACAACCCTCTACAGTAGATATTAGTATCATTGTCATCCCCACTTTACAGGTGAGAAAACTGAGCCGTAGAGAATTTAAGCGTCTTATAGTGTAAGCTCTGAGAGCTGGTTTTTCTTTTTTGCCATGCAAGTGCCTGATTTAAGTTTTATTGCTGGGGCATCCACTTCAAAGACGACTGACTATCTGGAATAAACACACTGCCAACCACCTGAAGGTGAAGAGTCAGCCCTCCCTCCGCTCCCACCACCCCCCACGGGGCTCCTTTGTTTCAGAAATCTTGGTTGATTTCCGTACGTGACCCGTGACCGTTTGGGCCACTTGTTTTTTCTCTTCCACTGCTTTAAATTCTCGCTCTTATGTTTTAAATTCACCCATCTAGGGGCGCCTGGGTGGCTCAGTAGGTTGGGCATCTGCCTTTGGCTCAGATCATGATCCCAGGGTCTTGAGATCGAGCCCCACGTCCAGCTCCCTGCTCAGTGGGGAGTCTGCTTCTCCCTCTGCCTCCACCCCCACCCCTCCCCCGGCTTGTGCTCGCTCTCTCTCTCTCTCACTCTCTCAAGTGAATAAATAAAATCCAAACAATAAATTCACCCATCTAGAGCAAGCCCATCAAATCCTAGACCTAAACCCTCCATCTCAATAAAAGCAGAACGCCAGACCCACACCCGCATTCTCTTTCTCTAGCCCGAGACCTCACTGTGTGGTCCCGGCTGTGCCATGTGTTTCCCAGGACCTGTGAATAATAAACCTTTCCGGTCTCCAAGTTCCCTGATGGTTATTGCTGACAGCGTCTTTGCAATCTTAAGAACCACAGGGGCCGGACCAGCCAGAACATTAGTTATCAATAGGCTGACAGCGGCACAAAACACTTGTCCAACATCGCCGGGCTAATCAGTGACAAGATGGGATTTGAACCCAGGTCGGTCTGAAACCAAAGCCTAAGTTCCTAAGCACACCTCTTTCTAGCCTGTCCTCAGTCTCCCTCCTGAGTTCCTTTTGCTCCTGCCTCTTTTTTTTTTTTTAAGATTGTATCCATGTATTTGACAGACAGAGGTCACAAGCAGGGGGAGGGGCAGAGGAAGAGGGAGAAGCAGGCTCCCCGCTGAGCAGGGAGCCCGATGCAGGGCTTGATCCCAGGACCCTGGGATCACGACCTGAGCCGAAGGCAGACGTTTAACCCACTGAGCCACCAAGGCGCCCCGTGCTCCTGCATCTTTTAAATAGTGGCTTTCCCCGGGGTATGGCCTTAATCGCTGTTCTTCTTAGAAGACCACGCACCGTGGGTAAAGGATCACATTCTCGTGCTCTGCTTCAATGCGGCTGCCCTGACATATCCATGCCTGAATGAGCCCATCAGTATGGAGAAAACACTGCTTTTTATTACGAGTCCCTGGAGCTTGCTGCACCCCTGCTCTCCAGCCCAGTTTCTGAGAGGCTTTTCATTTCTACTTATTTGAGTTTGTATTATTTGATTTTGCATTAGTATGCATCATGTTTATAATCAGGAAAAACAATAAGGATATTACTAATGTAATGGAAGTAGATTAGCCTCTATGGGGCCGCATCAGCTCAGTCCTCCCAAACCGGCATTACCAAAGCAGTTTCCAATGTCAGATATGTTAAACGTATGTTGCTGAGAATTGTGAGAAATTTAATTGAAAATATCCTGAGCCGTCTGTGGCTGAGATGACCCCAAATATCCATCCCCTTTCCCCAGGGTCCAATTTATTCTCAAGCAAACAAAATTAGCATAATAAGCAAAGCTATAAAAGCAGAGGTGTCCGTCCAGGATGTCAAATGAAAAACAAAATTCAGTTCAATTATTAAGAAGCTGAATATATGTATTCATTATCAGGAAATGGGTATGGCTGTTGGAACATCAAGGGAGAAATAGGAGAATTGGGGAACCAGTTCAGCTAAGAAGCAGGAGAATCCCAAAAGGATGAGCAGACACTCCTCAAAGTGATGAAGGGCCTTTTCTGAGATGGGCATTGTGATAACCACGTGACGTCTAGTTAAGTGCAGATGGTGCCTGACCCCCTCCCTGACCCCAGCCCTCAACACATCCCCCGTGTCTGAGCTGCCCCACCCCTGACTCACACTCCATTCTCAACTCCGCCCCCCCCCACACCCTGCAGTCTCTCCTACCTCTCTGCATGTTCCTGCTCAGTTTCTTTCCAGAATGTGTCATTTGCTCCATCTGCTGCCTTAACATCCTAAGGTTTTTGTCTGTAGCCAAGTGTTCACCACGCTCCACTCTGAACCCTGGGTGACCTTACATGTGTCTGCGGTCGGAACATAGCACCTATAGCTTGATGATCCAAATCGGTATTTCCAGTGCTGACCCTCTGCCGACCTCTAACCCCTGTATATTCAGCTGCCTACCACAGAAGGTCATCAGGGGTCTCAGTAGCCCACGGACAGCGCAACCTCAACAGGTCTAAAACACAGCTGATTCTTTGAAAACGTGGTTCTCTTATATTAATTCTCCTACTGAATGCTGCCACCATTTGTCCACTCTCCAAAGCCAGAAATCTGGACCTCATTCTAGATTCTTCTTTTGCCTTCACAACCGCACACCAAGTCTCTGCCAAGTCCTGTTGATTCTACCTACTCGATACTTACCCAACCTGCCTCTTTTTTCCTATCTCAGCACCTGTGTTACGGCTGGCCTTGATCTAATCGGTCCAAGAGTCTCCTGATTGGTCTTCCTGCCCTCCCTACCCTTCCAAACAATCTACTTCAAGGCCAATCAGACTATCTTCTTTTTTTTTTTAAGATTTTATTTATTTATTTGAGAGAAAGAGAGCACAAGCAGGGGGGAGGGGCAGAGGGAGAGGGAGAAGCAGACTCCTGGCTGAGCAGGGAGCGTGCCATGGGGCCCGATCCCAGGACCCCGAGATCATGACCTGAGCCGAAGGCAGATGCTTCACCGACTGAGCCACCCAGGCGCCCTGAGACTATCTCATAAAGCCTACTTCATAAAACCTCTCAATGGCTCCATGTCTGCACATTCTAGAAATTCCCCCATGATCTGTCTCCTGCTTCCCTCTTCAGGCTCATCTCTCCCTACTTTCCCCTCGCTCACGCCAAGCACCAGCCCAGGGGCAGACACAGGTACTGTGGGAGCTTAAGCTTATGCAATTAGAAGGGCCCTCCAGAAAGACAAAACAACATTACGACTAAAAATTAGTTACAGGACCTTGGCAGGGCCTGTGCAAGTGAGGGCCCTGAGGCTTAAGCTTCATTAGCTCCACAGCCCATCTGCCTCTAAGCCAGCTAAACAGAGCCAGCGACAGATCCCTAGAACATGCCATAGTCTTCCACACTTCTTTGCCGTTGTACAAGCGTTCCCCCAGCCTGGACTGCCCTTCCCTCCTTCCCCTTGTCTGTCTGGCAAAAGAGTTCATCCTTCAAGGGCCAGCTCAGGAGGCACTTCCTCTGTGAAGGCCTCCCGAATCTCCCCACATGGAACGGACTATTCTCTCCCTCACGTGCTCCTTGTCACTTGTCCTTTACCTCTTCGTACCCTGTCCTTCCCAAAGCATATCACACTCGATGGAACTTATTTGTTCAAAACCGGTCTCCCCTGTGAGTGCCTCAAGGGCAGAGACAAAGTCATTCCTTTCTAGATTGTCAGGGCACGGCAGCGCCTGGCACAAGGTAGGAAGGAGCTCAAGACACGCCTGCCACATGGACTGGAGACCTCACCCATGTATATTGGAAAGACACCTTCCCTTTGGCAGAGCGCGTGGAGTAGACGGGTTGGTGGAAACAGGGACCCTGGGTGGAGGCACCACTTGTGAGGGGTCTGTGCCCTGCACACGCCATTTTGGGAGGAGGTCCAGGCAGGACCCCGTGGTGAGCTCCTCCGCGTGGCCTCCCACCAGCCTCCACGCCCCATCCCCTTCCTTACCTGTCCTCCTTGTTGATCTGGTCCCCAAAGCCCACCGTGCTAACAATGGTGAGCTTCAGCCCCACGTTGCTCTCTTGGAGGTCATAGGTATTGGACCGGAGCTGGACACCCGGCTGTGTGTGGGTGGCTGGCTCCCCCTCAAACTTGGTGTTGAACAGGGTGTCCATGAGGGTAGACTTGCCCAAACCGGTCTCTCCTGAAAAGCAAAAGGACAAATGACGGAACGTTCACACAACGGCCGTGCAGACCCCACATCATGTTTTGGACATATATTCATCAACGTGGGAGCACGTACGCAGTAAGACACTAAATGAAGAGTGTATAAAACTAGATAGACTATTGGCTCTCAGTTAAGTGAAAGAGACTGACAGGAACTGCTTCAGCGTATCAGCAGCAGCATCTCAGGATAGTGGAACTGGGGTAATTTTCCTTTTAGTCTTCCTATTTTTGTGTCATTTGAAGGTTGAGGACGCATGGCTTTTATCGTCAGAAAAAGAAACTCTGTTGCAGGCGGTGATGGAGAGATAGCAGTTATGCCTGGAAAAAGTCCAGAAGGACATACAATATACTCTCACCAAGAGGGCTATCGCTATGTGGTGGGGGTGATGTGTGGTTTTCGTTTCTTTCTTCATGCTTCTGTGTATTTTCCAAATTTTCCATATGGAACATGCATAGCTTTTTTTTTTTTTTCAAGATTTTATTTATTTATTTGACAGAGAGAGAGTGTGACAAGGAGGTGGAGTGGCAGAGGGAGAGGGAGAAGCAGGCTTCCCGCCGAGCAGGGAGCCCGATGCGGAACTGGATCCCAGGACCCTGGGATCATGACCTGAGCCGAAGGCAGACGCTTAACGACTGAGCCACCCAGGCGCCCCACGCATAGCTTTTGTAATAAAAATCAAAGGGCTGTTTTCGATTTTAAAAGAAAGGGACAGTGGTCCCTTGTCAAATAAATATCCTCTCCTTTTCCCACCTCACCTCCCTGCCAGGCCCAGACTGCGCTCTGCACATGCCCGGATGTGTATCCCAGTGGGAAGGCCATTTTTAGCTAATGGGGAGGGAAGTTAGCAGGCCACAAATTCTTCTTCTTAAATTTCAAACAAACCAGTCATTCGTTTGTTTAACTAACAGGCTGCAGGATACTAATAAATTAAACCATTGGAATTTCAAGTCTTGACTTTCACACCAAGGAGAGGAGGGGGGAAAGCCTGTGGAGACCGGTGAAGGTTTTTTGGAGGTCATTCCTGGGAGACCCGAGTGAGGTCAAGCCACTGCCAGGAACCAAGGGGTCTTCAGGGAAAGACATTGGAGGAGAGCTGGTGGCCTGGGAGTTGGGCAGGAATGTGCCAGGAGGCCCCAAGCTGGGCTGGGCTCTACAGAGGCTTGTCATCTCCAGGGATCCAGACCATATTTGGGCTTCCACCCCCCCACCCCCAGCAATTCAGGAATGCCAGGAATAAAAGATTCAGTAGCTAATCACCCCGATTGCCTTTTGAATACCTAGACCACCCTGCTATTCTGCTCTCCAGGGCTAGGGTGGGAGCCACATAACGTGTAAATGCAAATGGCCCCGATCCCCCTTCCACCTTCTGGGTGTGTCTAGCTTTGCATCTTGCATGCCTTTTATCCTGAATAACGAGCGATGAATTCTGGAAGTGCTTTTTTCAAATCTCTGTCTCCGATGAGAGCTGTCTGTGTGTGTAGAGACTGGTGAGAGAGAGAACAAGAAGAACATTCAACTCAGCCTGGCTCCCCAGCCCCCCAGCCCAGCATCGTAGCCAGGTCTGACTAACATGGTGGATTGCCAGGGTGCAGGGAAATGGTCCCTCACACAGATCATGTTTCCAGCCAAGGTCTGCTATACCTATTAGCAGCAAAGATTCTCCCAGAAGAGGCCCCCCTTTTCCCCCTCCCTAAAGGAACAGGGAGTATTTGGGTCTCAAGAAAAATTTGGTGAGGTGGGGTCTTTGCTATGGGAGGTCACAGACTTGGCCAAGCAACGGAATGTATCACCCCACCCTCCCTGCCCAAGGTGGGGGTGCAGCTCAATTGCGCAGGGGACCAGCACCTCTGAGGTGGGAACACAGGGGTGGCTCCTTCACCCCTAACTCACCTTCCCTCTGGGCGTAGAGGTTTCAGATCCATTTGAGCTCATGTTTGTGTGTGCCTGATGAACTTTCCACATACATCCCCCCCACCCCCTTCTGCTCTGTGAGCTCTCGGCTGAATGCCCCGCAGCTCCTAGAGGGCTGGGCCCTGTCTCCCCAGCACCCAGAGCTGGCTCCCTGGACCCTGAGCCTAAGTATCATCAGAGAGCAAGGGATGGGGCATCTTCCCGTACTCCCCAGAGGGCCCAGCCCAGGCGGGCACGGAGGCCTCGGGCGCAGGCTACAGTGTTTGCTCAGCCGGAGGGATGGAGGCCGGCCAGGCAGGGCAGGGCAGGGCAGGGCAGCGGGGCAAATGACCACGCGAAAGCCTGCCAACACAAAAGGGCTGTGGAAATTAGACGCCCGATGATGAGAGGAAGAAAAGAACCCGCGGGTGTCCAGGGAATTGTGATAAATGCAACCTGAGGAGAGGAGAGAGAATCAAGCGAGCCGGTCCCATGGCTATGGGAGGGCTCCCGGTCTGCTGTGCCATCAGCGTGGAGCCTGCAGGGTACAGGGGTCCCTCTCCATGGTTGGCACGGACCCAGCCTGAGCCTAGCATGCCGTCCCCTCCCACGCTGCCCCGGGGGGCCCAGCATCGAGGAGGATCAGGTCAGCAGACTCCACACCCCTGCAGGAAGGTGGGGACTTGGCAGATGCAGGAAACCTGGGGAGTCCCCAGGGGTCAATTTCTTTCTCCTCCTCCCTCCTCGGACAGACAGCAGGATTTCTTAACCCTTTTAAGGTCTTCACCACCCGGCCCAGAAGATTCCATCTCGCTTTGCTTAATGGAGATGGGATGCTGGAAACACCCAGCGTTTTTAAAAAAAATTTCCATTTAAAACGTGTGATGTGAAACACGCTTTTTCAAACTACACTCCCTGGGATAATCCACCGTTGACCTCTCTACTCAGCCATTTTTCCTCATCTGCTGCTAATACCGCATCCTCTGGCACCTTGTGGCCTTAAGTCCTTGCAGGTGGGGAAACGCAGAGGAAATGCAGAGGCCTGGCCCCGTGATGCCCAGCCAGAGGCGTTGCCCTCTCTGGGCCCCAGTCTCTTTCCCCAGAAAATGAACAGGTTGGATTAATAATAATAGCGATGGCTTCTGGAGCAGTTACTATGTGCCAGGCACAGCTGTGATACTATCTTTTCTTATTTGTTCCCCACAATAAACCTAGGAGGTAGATACTTGTCTTTCAGTTACGGAAGGGTCAGCCAAGCCACTTCCCAGCTATGTGAATTTACCGCACTCCCCAGTCTCTCTGCACCTTACCTTCCTCATCTGTAAAATGTGGAGGAGGGAGCTGGTCTAGGGTCACAAAGGACTCAGTAGCAGAGAGGGCCCCGAATCCAGTCCGACACTGGAGCCCAGACGTATAACCAATACGCCTTAGTGGGTCGCGCAGGCGTGCTACGTCGGCTCATTTGGGCATTCGACAAATGTTCACGGGGCCTCTAGCCAGAGCCATGCGCAATTTTAGGGACGAAAGATACAACAGTGAACAGGACAGCCACCATCCCTGTCCACAGGGAGCTCGCGGTCCCCAAAGCGAAGGTCTCTGCCGGCTCCAAATGGGGGGGGGGTCCACCAAGAGAGACATCTCCCGGGTTCAACAAGGAGGTGTTCAAAAGGAAACTTTCCTGGAACTCCAGGGAGCCTACCAACAGGGACAAGGTCATGGCTGGCTCTGTAACCTTGCCCTCTCCTTCCTGACCTTGCCAAGGCCTGGCCCACAGGGGTGTCCTGGAGCCGGCTCCCCCAGCCTCTTGCAGATCTGCTTCTCGGGTGTGTTTTATTCCAAGTTCAACGCGGCCCAGTTGAGCCTGGAATCCTGAGCAGCTTCAAAATAAATATTATCATGATGACTCTCTGCACTCCTCACAGGCATTACCGTTGCTGGCACATTCGGAGGGCAGCATGTCTCCTGGGCTCTTTCCCAGCAGTGCAGAGCAACGGGCCTCAGAGCGTTTGTCCCGCTGGTTCCAGGGGCTGAGGCCTCCTGCACTAGATCTAGATCGTGGGGTCTTTGCAATTTCCAGAGCTAAGCAATTAGTATATGTTTTTTGTCTGGGGTGGGGGGGGGCTGGGGAGGGAGAGAGCAACCTCACCCCACTCAGTAATTATTGTCAACCATAGAAAATCTGTTCGAGAGGAGTCATAATATGCCCACACCCGTGTGCTTAGCCCTCCAAAATAATAACTGTGGGTGCCACTTATTGGTACCCTTACATATGAATTAGGATCTGGATTCATAAAACTTCTCTCTCTCAATCCAGCCACGCACCTGTGCACACGGGCACACACCTCCATCACGGTGAAGGGTGCTCACTCTGCCGGGGTGCCTGCGGTCAGCAGCCCAGCACCCAGATAAAAAATGCTGTGATCCAAATGTCTTAGGTCTCTGTTAATAATCGAAGCTAGCACTACCATCAGTTTACACTTAACATGCCCTATGAGAAAAGAAAAGAAAATCCTTTGGGGGAACATAGTCGATGCCTAACCAGACTCGTTTGAGAGCAGTCATTAAGGGAGTAAACCTGATAGTTATGCACCGGCCGTAGGCATGAAGGAACGATCACCGAAAATCCTGCGAGAAAAAAGATCACCTTCCGCGGGCAAGCTACGGACCCTTGCTGGTGACAGTACCCAGCCCCATGGCTGGGCTGAGATCGCAGCCTGAGAGCCCATCTCAACTGCTCGTGACCTTGGCCCAAATTGTGGGTTCTCTGAGCAATGACAGGGTTGTGCGAACAGACAGAGAGCAGGATGCACGGACTGCTGGCTTGTTTGGATCAGGGATGGGGAATGAAGTGAACCCAGTCCAGGTGGGGGCATCCACTGCACGCACCCGCAGCGCCAAGAGGGGGGCTACTGGGGTGATTTCCTGGGACTTGGTAAGTGCGGAAAGAAAGAGAGGGGATGACTCTTTGGGGGTGAGGATCTCCTTCCTACCCCTCCCCTCTTGAAGGGTCTGGGGCAATTGAGCAGTCCCACCCCGGCAGGTGCACTCCAAGCGGCTCTAACTTCACCGTGCCTGGGTGGGAACTCGAGGACAGGGGTTTACTATTCCTCCCACTCACTTTACCTTGAGTGTAGCTGCCTCCTCTTCGGGGCCCTATGGGAGCCCAGAGTCCCCAGGGCTAGTTGCACTACACTTCCGGCCCTCGGAGAGCCATTCCAATTTCTGCGGCCTCCCTCCTAAAGCCTCACTCATCCGCGCAACTGCACTTAGTTGAAAGGTTGATGAGGGTGGGCCTCTCACGTCACTTCGCAACTCCTCAACTTCAGTGCAGGTCATACCGAGCTCTGGGAGGAATGCCAAGGGAATCTAATATGTTTGTGCGGAAGTTTTTCAGTAATCAAATATGCGAAATAAGTTGGCCAGTGGCCAAAGATTGGAGCGATTTGGCAGTGCTAATATTGGATGTGGTAGCATCTCAATGTTGATCACCACGGCTTCTATTTATTTTGTATCCTTCTCCTAATAGCATCTCATCATAACCACGAGTAGACTTCTGGCATTTGAAGAATTGTTGGCCTAGCTCTGGATGCCAAGGCCCATGATATGTAATTCTGTGAAGCACATATTGTCGTCTCCTGGCTTCCCAAGCTGATGTGTGGGAGTGAGTCATTCGGCCAGTGAGTGAGCCTAACTGACTGTCATCCATATTGAGAAGTGGCATCCTTGTTCTCTACTTGTCCCTGAGTGCGCAGTTATTCTCCTATAGGAAATGATCGAGAAAGAGCGCTAAGGGGGCGCCTGGGTGGCTCAGTTGGTTAAGCATCTGCCTTCGGCTCAGGTCATGATCCCAGGGTCCTGGGATCGAGCCCCGCGTCGGGCTCCCTGCTCAGCGAGGAGCCTGCTTCTCCCTCTCCCTCTGCCCCCCCCTCATGTGTGCTCTCTCTCTCTCTGTCAAATAAATAAATAAAATCTTTAAAAGAAAAAAAAGAGAGCGCTAAGGATGGAGGAAAAGAAAAAGAAAGAGTCCAAGAAAATGAATGACCCTAGTTAGAAAACAGAACTTCAGGCGACATTAAAGAGTAAAATATCCAATTCAGCAGTGGGTCGGAGCCTCAACATGAATGAGTTCCCCATACGCTCTCTAGAAAAATAAAAAAGGGCAATCAGCAAAAGTGTCTGAGTGTTCCAACCAGCGGGAAAACAGACTCTATTATAGTATTTATACAATCATTAAGGTTTGGAAGTAGGGCACTGAAAATGGGCAAGTATACTTTGCTGCACAATAGAGTGAAAATCATATGCTATGACCGTGTTTGCAAATTCGGGACTTTGGAAGGTCTAAGGAGGGATTCTTAAAGAATGTCAAGGAACTGTTGTTCCTCACATTTGTTTGGCTGGTGCCTGACCAATTCCAAAGGGCCTTTGTGTTCTCAAGAGATGTCGGTAGCAGCAGTTAGAGAAGCGGTGGGAGGACCAAGGGGTCAGCGAGACCTGGGGCCTTGTCCGCTCCACCACTTACTCTGTGTTGCCCTGGTCAAGTCTCTTATCCTCCCGAAATGAAACGTCTGGGTCTCCACCTGCTCTGTGAAGATACAAATGTTACTCACTCTGGGTCTCCACCTGCTCTGTGAAGATACAAATGTTACTCACTCCGCTCATTTCAGGGACTCCTAGGAAGGACTCAAATTGCTACTATGGGAAAGTGTCTGCGAAATAGAACAAGTGGTGCCCGTGGGGTTAACGCATTCATTCATCTCACAAGCATTACTGAACTCTCTTGGCGCTGTGATTAGCACACTAGAGGTGACTAAGACGTGGTTCCCACATTCGAGACTAAAGGTCCAGGTGGAGATAGGCTTTTTTTTTTTTTTAAGATTTTATTTATTTATTTGTCAGAGAGAGAGAGTGCAGAAGCAGGGGGGAGCGGCAGGCAGAGAGAGAAGCAGACTTCCCGCTGAGCAAGGAGCCCGATGCGGGGCTCGATCCCAGGACCCCGGGATCACGACCTGAGCCGAAGGCAGACGCTTAATCGACTGAGCCACCCAGGCATCCCTGGGTGGAGATAGGCTTAAAGGCAATAAGAGAATTCGCACCCTTGAGCTCAGACCGTACCGAGCATCGCAGGGCTGCAGAGGACACAGCCCCAGCCCACTGCCCACAGCCCGTGGGCAGGCATCCTACCACAGCCACCAACCTCCCTCCCAATTCTGCCCTGGCTCCTGTTTTCTGCAGTCCAAGTGAACTTGACCGCGGTAGCTGAGCCAGCCGGCTCCCTTACAAAAGTTTCCACCGGGCGTCACGCGGCTCCCCAAAGTCCGGCCCCGTATTCTGGTCTGACCAGGGAAAAATAGCATCACAGCCGGCTGCTCGCAAAGGCAAACAGAGGGATAAAAGAGGAAGAGGGGGGAAGCCAGTTTTGCAAATAGACCAGAATGACACAGTATTTAACCTAATTACCTGCCAAGCCACATCCAGCCATTAAGGATCCATATTCTGTAATAGAATTTCCTGCTATGGAAATACTCACCCACGCACAGGATGTTGAAGCAGAAGCCCTGGCTGACTGACTTATTCACCAGCTGGTCGGGCAAGCTGTCAAACCCCACATGTCCAGCCAGGGGGACGGTGCGGCAACCTTCACCCTAATGCGGAAGGGAAGGGAGGGAGGGGAGAAAACGAAAATGTGCTTAAAAGCAATCTGGGTTCTCACTTCTCATCCAAATGACTTGCGAGCGAGGAAGTAGCCCCCGCCCAGGCCCAGTGTGTCGTGTCTTCCCTTAGCTCCTCCCTGCTCCAAAGCAGAACGGCCCGCCAGCTTGGAAGTCATGGGTTCTTAGGTGCAGGCTTCTTGCAGGCTCCGAGGTGAAGGTCGCCCTAGGTCCACACAGAGCCAAGTGCCCAGGTGGCTTCCGGGCCGGCGGGGGAGGGCGGGGTCAGGGGATGAGGTTCACGGACTTGGGGTAGCTCTCCACGCAACCGCTTATAAGCCGGGTCACCTCTCCGTGATTCTGTTTCCTTGCACGTCTGTCCGATGAGATAATAGTGTCTATCTGACAGGTGGTCGGGGGCGGGGGGCCTCAAACGAGCTTAGCACAAGGCCTGGGCCGTGTCTAAGCGTCCGGTAAATATCACAAAAGGACATCAGAAAGCAACTCCTCCTCTCTCCAGGCCATTTTGGGGCAACTACAAAGGTGGCACAGTGTAGGGGTCAAGAGCATAGGCTTTGAAATGAGGCAGGTCTCAGTGAGAGCCCCACCCCCTGCCCCTTCTGACCTCGGACAAGTTACTTAAATCCTCAGAGTCTCCCCATCTGTGAACTCAGGGACAAGCAGCGACTAGCTCATAGGACTGGGGTGAGGATCACACAGCGCTGAGCGCGGTGCCTTGGCGCGTGGGGAGCATCCCATCAACAGAAGCTGCTCCTCCTATCGCTCTGCAAGGTTACCCCTCTCCTCGGACTCCCCAAATAACACGGGACACCATGGGACACTTGGGGCTCCCCCCAGCTCGCTAGAGCTGCCTCCGTACTCCCCCGCACCGGGTTCCCTGCTCTCCACGGGGGTCAGCCAGGCCATTCACAGCCCTGGAAAGCAGAGGGCCCGTGCTTCACCTGCTAGTCCCAGCGCTTTTTACTGTTAATGGTTTTATAAAACAGGGAGAGCCTCGAAATGGGGCAGGCTTCCAAGGAGCCGGGGGGGGGGGGGGAAGAGGCCTGCGTGTACTCAAGAAAAGTGCTAACCGCCAATGGCCCCAAAGGAAGAGAGGAGGACGGTGGGGCGCAGCTAAACGGGAGGTGTGGGCTATGTAAGAAGCCGGGAGTTTCTGCTGGGCGGGGGCTACACCGAGATTTCCGGGAACCAGAAGGGTGCCAGAGCGATCCAAGAAGGGCTTGGGCAGTGTCAGGAGGCCCGCCCCAGCATCCTGGGCTGTGCTAGCAGGAACACTTTCTGCTTGCCTGGACCTGCTTTCAGGCTAGGTCCCTGAGCCCCTCAGCAGCTGCTGTTGCCAGAACGGGTGTCCAGATAGCCCCTGCACCCAGTGGTGCCATGGGGTGTTCCAAGAGCGAGAGACAGGGCTAGGGCCGGGACTGCCATCTGGCAAGTTCATTACCCTCACACGTCTCACCCCATGTACTCCCAGCGGAGTATTCCTGACACACAACCATATGCCATCGTTCAGTCTGAGTTGGCGTCTTCCGGGCCCCAGAGGGGCACCTGAAAACAGCTGGGGTTCATGCGTGACCCACGGCACTCGGGGCTGGTTCTACATACACCCCTTTCTGCTTCCCCTCACCCCTTCCTCCCTCTTTTTCTTAAAGCAAACAAACGAAGATATAAGTTTCCCGCTGGTTGTTCTTGGTCCTCAACACTGCAGGGGAGAGAGAGACTTAAGAGCCAATATGCTTTCTCGATGGATCCTCCTACGTAGCAGGCATCGGAAATTGGGACAGACTCAGAGTTGAGGTTTCCTGAGCCATATTTTATCACCCCTGTCTGCCTCTTCCTGTCTCCAAATTCAGCACTGTGAAACTCTGGCCTCTGGTCCAAGTGCCAAAAGGCGAGGAAAGGGGATTTTCAAACTGAACACAGTGGAGACATGGGGAGAACTCCACTCCTTCTTTTCTTTTTTTTTTTTTTTAAGATTTTATTTATTTATTTGACAGAGAGAGACACAGCGAGAGAGGGAACACAAGCAGGGGGAGCGGGAGAGGGAGAAGCAGGCTTCCCGCGGAGCAGGGAGCCCGACGTGGGGCTCGATCCCGGGACCCTGGGATCATGACCTGAGCCGAAGGCAGACGCTTAACGACTGAGCCACCCAGGCGCCCTGGGAGAGAGAGAATCTTAAGCAAGCTCCACAACCAGTGCGGAGCCCTACAGAGATCTCATTGCAGGGCTTGATCTCACAACTCTGAGATCATGACCTGAGCTGAAATCAAGAGTCAATGCTTAACTGACTGAGCCCCCCAGGTGCCCCTCCACACCTTATTCTTAAAGACTTCTTTCATTGTCAATAACTCATCAAGGACCGCCTGTGTCCCCCCCCCCCCGACTGTTAACTCCCACCTAGCCCAGTGCTGTATAGAGCCCTAAATAGCTGAAGAAAGAGCATGGGCTTTATTCCCTAGGCAAAGGAGTTTGGGGGCCCTTTGAGTGTTTCGGGTGGGGAGAGCCACAATACAAGTAGCTTTTTCAAAAGATCATTCCAGCTGCGGGACGTCTGATTGATTGGAGGAGAGAGGGAGCAGAAGCAGAGGACAGATGACTCCACTAACATGGAGTGACATCCAGGCAGAGTCACATCCAGGCACGGTGCCAATAAATGCTGGTTGAACTGAGCTGCTCTGACTTGGGACTCAGGAGGGAGGAACAAACTTGCGAGATGTCCTAAAGAAGGGTGATCACTCAGTCGGTGATTGGGTAAGGGGGAGTGAAGGGACAATCAAGGCTCCAAGGCTGCAAGGTTCTGAGCCTGGGAGCTTGGATTGGTGGCCCCATGCCTAGAAAAGAGAGAAGCCAGGAAAGGGTGCTCGCTTAGTGGGGGAGGATTCTGGTTTTAAATAAGCTATTATGAAAACATTACATTTATAGGGGTTTTTACTTTCTTCTTTTTTTTTAAAGATTTCATTTACTTATTTGAGAGAGAGAGAGAGTGAGAGAGAGAGAGCCCAAGAGGGGGTAGGGTCAGAGGGAGAAGCAGACTCCCTGCTGAGCAGGGAGCCCGACTGGGACTCGATCCCAGGACTCCGGGATCATGACCTGAGCCGAAGGCAGTCACTTAACCAACTGTGCCATCCAGGCACCCCGGGGTTTTTATTTTCTAAAAAGTAGGCAATGTTCGCTGTAAAACTTTTAGAACACAGGGAAAAATGATAGATGAGAAAACAACAACCACTCATAACATTTATATGTGTTTCCCTCCAGTCTGCATACCTTTTGTTTCTTACAAAATAGGGATAATTCTGCAAATTCCTTTTCATAGCCTGACGCTTAATAGAGTGTGGATGTTTCCTTGAGAAATTAAGCATACTTCTAAAACGTTATTTGTATTGGCCACATAGCATTCCACTGAACCAATCTTCTACTGCTAGACATTCAGCATGTTTCCAAGTTTTAAACAATATAAACAATAATTCTCGTTCTTACAGGTTTGCATAGATCTTTGATTATTGGCTTAAGTTAAATTCCTAGGATTGAAGCCCGCCGGGTCCAAAGTCACACACATTTGAAAGACTTTGGTACATACTGAGAAATCATTCAATAGAGAATAGTACAAACGTCTATTTCCGCCACAAATATGTGAGAGGGTCTGTTTACCTATACTTAGACCAACACTAAGTTTCTGAAGCTTTTTAACCACTGTGAAAAGAATCATTGAAAAATGGCATCACAACGTTTAATTTGCATTATATTAGTGAACGTGAACATTCTTTTTCTAGTTCAGCTTTATACCTGTGTTGTGTATATGTACACATATATGTGAGTTGCTTATTCATGTCCTTGCCCATTTTTTTTTAATTGGTGTTTGTCTCTGTCTTCTGGATTTGTAAAGGCATGTTTTTAAAAGATCTTGTTTATTTATTTATTTATTTATTTAAGAGAGCGAAAGAGCGAGAGCATGAGCCGGGGGAGGAGCAGAGGGAGAAGGCCAAGTAGATTCCAAGCTGAGCACAGAGCCCAACGCAGGGCTCTATCCCAGGACCCTGAGATCACGGCCTGAGCTGAAATCAAGAGTTGGACACTTAACTGACTGAGCCACCCAGGCACCCCAAAGCATTTTGTATGTTAAGGAAAATAAGACAGTTTTGATTTTCTGGTGGAATATGCAGAAGAAATCCAACAATTACCCATATGGGATTGTAGGCTCAAGGAGAATTCAGGACTGGGGTATGAATTTAGGAGTGGGAGGTATGAAACTGGATGTGTTCTCCAAGAGATAGTACAGAAAAGAGCTGGAGATTGAATATAGGACATGCCCACAAGTAAAGAATGGGAAGATGGAAAGGATTCTACCACGAAAGGGAAATGATCAGAAAAATAAGAGATGACCCAATCTTTTTCTAGCACCAGAGGCCGAGGTTGAAGTCAGGAAGAATTACAGAGAAATAACCATTAATCTGGAATTTGGTGAGGGTCACTGATGACTTTAAAATCTTTATTTCTTCTGTATCTGTTTACCCAGTGTCCATCCAATACACAGAAATTAACTGGAAGGGTTTGGGGACAAGGGGACATGGGAGCTGGTTACTGTGTTTTTCTTGCTAAGATTTAAGAAGCAAACTTTTTGTCTTAGTGCTTATAGTCGAGAAAGCTTCAAAAATATATTTGTATATATATTTCCTGCTTTAGGAAATCCTGTCTAGTGAGCACCATTGACTCTTGTTTTGATAAATCTTATAAGATGTCAAGGTCATCATTATGAGTATTAGTCCTCATTGTTCAGAGCTAAATATGTAGAGGGAAAAAGGACATTGGACTGAATGTACACTGACCCCAGGACAGCCCCTGGAAGTTTCTGCCCCCTCCCTCATTAAAGCTCTGCTATCTTATCTCTTTCCTCTTTCTCCTTAAGGTGGCCTGATTAATTGAAGTCTTAATTACTCTGATTGCAGTTAATTTGAACGTTCCCTGGATTACAATGTGCA